TTTTTGCTTATGTGGTGCTGAGGAATGGAACCCAGGGCCTCATGCATGCAAGGCAAGCGCTCTACCACTGAGCCACCTTCCCAGCCCGCATGGGGGTTCTTTGCCGCTAGGGATGGAACCTAGACATGCGTGTAGGCAAGCGCTCTACCTCTGAGTCTTACCCTGTCCCGTGTTAGGGGAGTCTCTTCTTTTATCTTTGTACCTTTGCCAGGGCTTGAACTGAGTCTTCCATGCTTTTTTTTTTGGGGGGGGGAGGGGTCTGGTCGTGGGGCCTGAACTCTGGGCCTGGGCGCTGTCCCTCAGTTCTTCAACTCAAGGCTAGTGCTGTACCACTTGAGCTACAGCACCACTTTTGGCTTTTTCTGTTTATGTGGTGCTGAGGAATGGAACCCAAGGCCTCATGCATGCGAGGCGAGCGCTCTACCACTGAGCCACCTTCCCAGGCTCTTCCATGTTTTTCCTTAGCTTTCTTGCTCAAGGCTGGTGGTCTACGGGCCATTCCAGCACTTGAGCCACACCTCAACTTTCAGATTTTTGGTAGTTAATTGGAGATAAGAATCACTTGGATTTGTCTCCCCATGCTAGCTTCCAACCGTGATTTGAGTGCCCTGAGTAGCTAGGATTGCAGGGGGGCATCTGGCTTTTTAGGAGACCCAGTTCTGAAGTGGCCTGTGTGCAGGGGTGGGAGTTAGGCATGCCGGCCATCCCTGCCGCCGCCGTGGACCAGTGTGTGTGTCAGTTGTCCTGTGTGAGCCTTTCAGACTTGTTTTTCTCGCTGCGGAGGGAGCAGTGTGGTCTTACACAGCGTTGGTCCTGTTGATAGCTGAGCAGGGTGTGGCTGGGGTTCAGGGACCTGGTCCCTGGAGGCTAGTCCCTACCCCGCGGTCCAGTGCGTCTCTGCAGTGTACGCCCCACTGCAGACCCAGGGGGTGTTCCAGCAGTCCTGATTCCTCACCATGTTCCATCCTGGCTGTTCTGGAATGCAGCCCACGGGCACTTTAAATGAGGAACTGCTTTGGTGGATGGTTATAGTGGTATAACCTCACCCCTGAGGACAAAAGTGCTGCTGACCCCCCCTGACATGCGTCCATGGCTGAGTTCTCATGGCCGCATCGCAGGTGTGGGGACAAGTTGAGCTGGGCCACACTGAGCTCCGTCCCATGGGTGCTGGGTGGGACTCTGACCCGTGCTGGCTTCTGCTGCAGAGCTACATGGACCCCCTGAATGAGCACAACGCTCTCAATGAGGCAAAGCAGATGATCGCCATTGCTGATGAGAACCAGAACCACCACCTGGAGCCCGAGGAGATCCTCAAGTACAGCGAGTTCTTCACAGGCAGCAAGCTGATGGACTATGCCCGCAACGTGCACGAGGAATTCTGAGTGCCGCGGGCCGAGCCCCGCTCCTCCCCGACCTCCGCGCATTCTGAGCGGCTGTGGCCCGTGAGGCCTGGCAGTTAGCCAGGGCCCCGGGGGCTCTGGAGCAGCTACCTGTGCTGCATGGGGTGCCGTGTTCCCCACCCTGAGGCCCCGGAACCCCCTTCTTCCTGCTTCCCTGAGGACACGTGCTCTGTGTCATCTTGGGGCCACGCCGTGCCCAGGGTTATTAAAGATGTGCTTAGCAGGTCGTATGTCTCCTCTGCAGCGTCAGAAGGCCGGCAGCCCTTGACCCCCCGCCTCTGGACTGTCAGAGCTGCCGAGCCCTCGACCGCCGAGGGCGTGGGTCACGTCAGGGCCCGACCCCGGGCTTGTAGAAAATAGTACACCCTCTTGCCATTTCCTTGAAAACAGGTTCAGACAGAATTAGAACCTGCTTTGCTAGAAGTAAGCTATCTCCTTCCTGTTGAGGACCCGGGGGCCACGGAGCGGGGTCCTCCCCCGGCCCATAGAACTGCAGGATCTCAGGCTGCAGTCTGAGAAAACAGATTTGTTGGCACAAGAGTGATTAAACAGGAGTTGCTGTATCTTGTAGATTCATTCTTTAGGTGGAAACAAAAACAGTTGGGGACTTTGTGGCTGGGTGGTTTCCACTAGAAGCTTTTGAGGTGGGTGATCTGGTTAACAGGGTTGTAGATTGTGCTAAGCGTTGATTCGATTCTGCCAGGGGTAGAAGCGAGGCCAGGACCTCCGCCTTCTCCGGTCTGCTGGGGGGAGACAGGTGGAAGAGCGCGTGTGAGGAGGGCTGTGTGGGGGTGGGCTCCACCTGAGCGGGGTCTTACTGTTGGCAGGAACAGCGGACACTGGGCTGAGGGGGGCCACGCGTGTGAGGAGGGCTGTGTGGGGGTGGGCTCCACCTGAGCGGGGTCTTACTGTTGGCAGGAACAGCGGACACTGGGCTGAGGGAGGCCACGTGTGTGCGCGAGTGTGTGCACGCGCGTGTGCGTGCATGTGCGTGTGCATGTGCGCATGCATGTGTGTGTGCGTGTGTGTGAGCGCACGTGTGCGTGTGTGCGCGCGTGTGCGTGTGCATGTGCGCATGTGTGTGTGAGCGTGCGCGCGCGCATGTGAGCGCACGTGTGCGCGCGCGCGTGTGTGAGCGCACGTGTGTGCGTGTGCTTGCGCGTGTGTGAGCGTGCGTGTGCGTGCGTGTGCGCATGTGTGTGCGTGTATGTGCGCATGTGTGCGTGCGTGCGCGTGTGTGTGCGTGCGCATGCACTCCTGCCTGCCCATGCGTGCACATGTGTTTCAGGAACCAGTCAGGAGCGCTGTCTCAGTGCTGAATAGGGTAACCCGGTAACCCGGTGTCTGAGGATGGCTTGTGACTGGACCCGCTTCTGTGCCCATGGGGAACCTTGCTGGCAGCCAGTGTGGTGCTTTGCTTTCCAGGCCTCCGACAGGGTGTCGGGAAGGCTCTGCAGACCCTGGCCTCTGCAGCGGCCACCCTCTGAGACAGTCCGCCCCAGGCCAGTGCCACTGGCTGCCCCTCAGCTCTCGGTCCTGGGACAGAAGGGTCATATTGCACGGACTCGGGACCCTGCCTTGGGACAGTGCAGTCCCGGAGGTGCCGTGGTGCCTGGTCCCCACGTGGAGCTGTGTGGGGCTTCCCTGTGACGAGGGCCCCCTTCGATGTCTCACCACATGTGTCCAAAGGAAAGAGAAGTTTAACACCAGGGACGTTGGCAGGCTGGCTCCATCAAGACAGAGCAGCAGCCGCCATTAAGCCAGAGTTACAGGGGGCCTGCCCGGAAGAGCTCAAAACTGCAGTCAGTAACTGGGAAAGTTTATGGTGAGGTGGTTGATGCATTTGGTCAGGCGAAGTCAGGACCTGGAGACTCAGTCAAGTGGAACCAGCCACAAGTCCCAGGAAGCTCAGCCCCACCCCCCAATTATGCCTTCTAGAGTGGGGGTGCCCCTGGAGACCAAAACCCCAGCTTGCCGGCAACGCTCCCGCGTGGCTCTTCCCAGAGCCCGTCACGCAGGGGGCTCTGCCGCCAGATGGGCCCTGCGGGAGGGAGGGACACATGTGCATTCAGGATGTCTTTTGTCTTTAATTAGTTGTACAAAGGGGTTTTAATTACACAGGTCAGGTTACGGTATAATGCTTCTTGATCAGTGTTGCCTGTTCTCCATCTTTTTTTTTTTTTTTTTTTTG